TTTTTTAAATTTTTATTTTGTTTTTCATGTCTAGAAGCCATGGCGCATTTTAGTAAAAAAATTGGAATGACTGCATTCGAATAAAAAAGTTTCCATTCAACTATGTTGTACCATTTCAATGCAAAAATCATGAATTGCCTTATATTTCACACAAAATTTAAGATTAAATAAAAAGTAATATTAAAACAAGTTAATAATAAAGCGGAAAAATGTAAAAGCAATGACACAACAGTTTTCAATAATGACTAATCATTATTGATTATATACATATATATAAAAATTAAAATTGTACCACTTTTGTAAATACATGTAACTATAAGTTGAACAGCAGGTAGAATTTAACGAAACCAACCACTAAAATTATAAAAAGAAAATCTCAATGAACAAAGCTAAACAAACCGATTATGCGCAAATTCATATAAGCATTTTATTAAAGTTGAGAGGCGGCTGGCCGCAGTGCCACCATTTTGAACGTCTCGAAGCAAGGCGTAACAAACAATTGCATATTTTTAAGTAAAACTAACACATCTATCATAAGTAGTTACACACAATGATTAAAATCGAATTAACACCTWATAAGATACATATATATACATACATACATAGAGTTAGTTGTAACGAGGAATATTTTGTAAGACAATTTCATTTAAGTGTAGATATAATAAAATTATAATTTTATACATAAACGAAGTTTGAAAACCTAATAGGATGAGCAGAATGCACAGCAAAATGTTGTAAATGCGGAATTTTAATAAGCAAATTTAATACACAATTATGTATGTAGTTGATAATTAGTATTAAACATTTTAAATTTAAGCATATTTAATGTACGGGCGAGTTGTAACTATAATAAAACAAAATATATATATAKAAATATATATTTCAAAATATACAAACGTCTGCATATGTAAAATAGAACTTTAATATTTACTAACTAAATTTCACTGTCGTATCACACGTGTGGAATTATTGCCGTTTCGGTTATCAAATACACACACGTATGTATGTATGCATGAGCGCCTTTGCGGTAAAAATATTGTTAGCATAGTCTATGTAATTTTAGTGGAAAAAATTAAACAAATTATGTATGCATGTGTGTGTGTGTGTAAATTATATTAATAAGTGGAGTATGAATAGGAGTTGCAGTAAAAATGCTAAAATACTAAACTATCATTTTGTAAAAACACACAAAAAATTAAAATCCAAGCGAAAAGATTTCAATAATTCACAATTAGTTAACACACTTATTTATTCAAATATTTGTATATATAAATGTTTGTTATAAGAACAACATTATGTATTATGCCAATGCACAAAGCTCCATTAACTGCACGCCAATATACCTACATACCCTAATGTGGGTGTGCATTTTCAGCACTTTTTAATCAAAAACTATGAAAATTATTAATTTTTTTTATTAAGAATTATAAATTTTTTTT